GGTTTCTTTTCTGAAGAAGTTATGAGTGATGAAGATGCCAAACTTTTAATTAACCACTGGCAAGATATACAAAGCCCTGCAGCATACCTGTCTCATATTGAAGAATTGCTCATGACCCTGTTGAACTTGAAACAAAAGACCTGAAAGAGAAAATTAGTGATATGGACTTTAGTGAAAAATTAAACAACGAACAACAAAAAGAGGCTATAGAAATGCTAAAGAAGAAAAAAGACATTTTTGTACAAACTGTTGAAGAACTTGGATACACCAACTAAACTAACTATGTGATTGACACAGGTAATGCTGCTCCTATTAAACAAAAGGCATATAGAGCTGCTCCTGGTATTCAAGAATTTATAAAGAACAAAATAACCCAATTAAAGAAACATAAGTTAATACATGAGTTCCAAAGCCCCTGGTCCTCCCCAATCATGGTCATGCTCAAAAAAGTGATAAATTGAGACTATGCATTGATTATTGTAAGTTGAACATGGTGACAAAAGAAGATGCATATCCTTTACCTTATATAGATAATCTCCTAGAAGTATTTTCTAAAGCAAGGTGGTTTAGTACGTTAGATTTGTTAAGTAGCTACTGGCAATTGCCTGTCAATGAAAAGGATAAAGAAAAAATAGCATTCGTTATATCTTTTGAAATGTATAAGTTTAACATTATGCTATTTGGCCTGTGTAATACTCCTGCCAGTTTTCAGCAATTGATGAACAAGATCCTATTTGACTATATTGGCAAGTTTATCATCATGTACCTAGATGATATAAATATATATTCTGAATCTTTCAATAAATATTTGAATCATATTAGTTAATCTTCAATAAGTTGAGAGAAACTAACTTAAAACTAAACTATGAAAAGTGTACTTTTTTCTGCCCAAATATCTACTTCCTTGATAACATTGTTAGCCACGATGAAATCAAGTCTAATGAAGCAAAAATTGAGAAAGTGAAGAATTTTCTAATTCCAAAAACTCTCTGAAAATTGCGTGGTTTTCTGGATTTGTCGTTATACTACTGGCGATTTATTAAAAGTTTCGCCACGATTGCTCACCCCTATACTATTTGCTAAAAAAGAACATTGAGTACAAATAGTGAAAAGACCAAGAGCAAGCTTTTGAGATATTGAAATGTCATATGATAATAGCTCTGATTCTAAGGTATCCTGATTTTTTGAAGACCTTTTATATTTATATTAATGCCTCTAGTTCTGAACATGATATAGTGCTTGTACAGAAGAACGATAATGAGAAGGAATTCGTAATCTCATATGCTAGTCAAGGACTAACACCTTCTAAAAAAAATTATGCTGTAACTGAGTTAGAATGTTTGGCTATCCTATAGGTAGAACACTACCACTATTACTATGGCTTGAACTTGTTTGTTATCGTTACTAATCACAATGCCTTGAAATAGCTAAAAATTTCGAAACTTACCAGTAGACATGCTCAATAGATGTTTCACTTGCAACCTTACAATTTTATAATCCACCATCATAGTAGACAAAAATATAGTAATACAGATACATTATCTTGAATTTGACCCTTAACAATAAAAGCAAAATTAGTAATAATAATATTAAATAAAAATAAATAAAAAAAAAGAGAGAAACTTGCTTTAAATCTGAGAAACAGAATCTAGTCCAGGTTTCAGTGTCTTGACCCCCAATAATAATAATAAAAATAAAAATAAATATAATAATAATAAAATATATAAATATATATATTTTTATAACACATAAATAAATATGGATCCTACACATTACAACTACCTGAAAACTTATCTACAAATGCGGAAGCTATCATAAAACCTTAACCACAATAAAAATAAGAAACTACAAAAAAAGTGTGAATTTTATAAGTACAAAGATGTGATATTTTACAAAAAAGACTAAAGAAAGCCCTGTCACCTGTCGCACATAATCCAAAAATACAAACTTGAGCTAATTTTGTTCTTGATATACTAGTATCTGATGAGAGGCCATTTTAGCAAAGATATTATATTCAACAAGATAAGGGACATATATTTTTGGCCCCAAATATATATCAATATACAAAGCTATATTCAAAAATGTGAATGATATCAACAATAAGTAAAAATTAAAATATTTAGACCCTTATGCCCTATCACTGTGACTGCACTATTCTATCAAGTTGGTGTCGACTTTGTTGTACACTCCCAAGAACTCCAAGACAAAAACATTACATTATTGTTACTGTGAACTAAATGACAAAGTGGCCTGAGGCCCTGGCCATAGAGAAAGCTGATGCAAAGACCGTTGCAGATTTTTTATACATGAGATTGTCTGTAGACATGGCTACTCTAAATGAATACTGTCAGACCATAGAACCTATTTTAACAATATCATGATTAAGGAGTTCATGAAGAACTTTGAAATCAACCATAAGTTCTCAACACTCTATTACCCACAAACCAATGAGTTGGTGCAACAAATCCAAGAAATAAAGATCAGCTACAATAAACTTGCCACCTTGTTAACAACCTAGACCAAACCTAATAATCAAGAATGAGACCTCTAGCCAGAGTGATCATAACAGTTATATATTACAAGTGTGGCAAAAAAGGCTACTATACAAGAGAATGTCTGACTGAAAGAAAAGCTTCAGTTTCTCCTAAAAAAAGACTAGCCCAACCAAGTCACATTCTGAGACATAAGATTGAAGCCAATTATTAGATGTTAATTTGATTAATTATAGATACTTAGGGCTTTGAATAAAGAGTCGTCAAGTGGCTTGGAATTGGGTCGATTCTTTCGGTTGCTTGCTTTTTTGGTTTGTTCGATAGGTAAGAACTCTTCCTCACTTTTTTTTTCTTGCATTGTTATTCTTTGTCTTTATACTTTTACTATGTTAACACTTATTATAGCAAAGTTCAGAAAGGGTATACAAACAACTTATGTGACAGATAGGTAGGTGTTTTTTTTTTTTTAATTATGATATTTTTTTTACAATTTGGTATTAATTGGGGTTGCCAATACTTTTCTATCTATAGTACACAATTTGTAAGCATTAATCAGAAGTTGGTCATGGATATAGAACAGGCCATTGTTGACATTAAGAGTTTTACACATTTTTGACCATAACTTTTGATGTGCCAGACCAATTTGGATAAAACAACCACCATTGGATTCAGCTCACTGGGCCGGTTCTAAAGAGCACAAGATCATGTGATTCTGATTACTGGATCCCGAGATCGGCAAAGATTTGTGAAATTAGCA